CACTGCTGGTGGGAATGCAAAATGATACAACCATTTTGGAAAATGATATGGCGCTTCTTCAGAAAGCTAGAAATAGACATACCATTCAATCCAGCAATCCCACTCCTAGGAATATGTCCTTGAGAAATAAGAGTCGTCACTCGAATAGACATATGCACACCCATGTTCATGGGAGCATTGTTCACAATAGCAAAACGATGGAAACAACCTAGATGTCCAACAACAGATGAATGGATAAACAAACTATGGTAGTACTATGCAACGAGAAAGAACAACAATGAATCTGCGAACCATCTCATAACATGGATGAAACTGGAGGACATTATGCTGAGTGAAATAGGTCAATCACAAAAGGACAAATCTTGTATGAGACCTCTATTGTAAAAACCCATGGAAAAGTTCACACACAAAATGTAACAATCTTTTTGGTTACCAGGGATGGGAGGGGTGGAGGGGGGGGAAATACTAAATAGGCAATAGATAAGTGGTATCTTGGGTGAAGGGTAAGATAGTACACAATACAGGGGAAACTAGCACAACTTGTACTAGGAAAGGTCTTGGAAGCCCCGCAGACACATCCAAACTCCCAGAGGGACTGAATTGCTGGGCGGAGGGCTCTGGGGACCACGGTCTCTGGGAACATCTAGCTCAATCGGCATAACACAGTTTATAAAGACAATGTTCTACATTCTACCTTGGTGATTAGTGTCTGGAGTCTTAAAAGCCTGTGAGCAGCCATCTAAGATACTCCACTGGTCTCACCCCTTCCAGAACAAGGGAGAATGAAGGGAACAGGATACAAGGAAAAGATTAGTCCAAGGGACTAATGGACCACAGCTACCACAGCCTCCACTGTACTGAGTCCAGTACAACTAGACCGTGCCCAGCTACCACCACTGACTGCTCTGACCAGGATCAGAACTGAGGGTCCCAGACAGAGCTGGAGAAAAATGTAGAACAAAATTCTAATACAAAAAAAAAAAAAGACCAGATTTACTGGCCTGACAGAGACGGGAGAAACCCCAAGAGTTTGGCCCCTGGACACCCTTTTAGCTCAGTCGTGAAGTTACTCCTGAGGTTCATCTTTCAGCCAGGGATTAGACAGCCCCATAAAACAAAATGAGACTAATGGGCACAGCAGTCCGGGGACAAGGACTAGAAGGCAGGAGGGGACAGAAAATCTGCTGATAGGGAACCCAGGTTTGAGAAAGGACAGTGTTGACATGTCATGGGGTTGTTAACCA